GATTCGAATAAGTCCTTGGCATCGAAACTGTGGAATTTTGCAATGCGTTCATTAAATAACAGAGAATGCGGTGCTTTAGAAGCTGCGGATACACTATTAGGGAATCCCTTGTACGGTACGGATAATGATACCATGGTCAAATGGATCGATGTTAATGAGGTGAGAAATAGAAAAGTTAAAACATTTAATGAAATTTAAGCTCTCGATGAAAATTCTACGAATATTTACTGTTCGTCACTCATCGATGATTACTATCCAAATAGACCTCAGGAATTAGAATCATTGAATTTGTACGATTTTGCCAGATTCTGGGAAATTACGAAACAGATGTCAAATAATGACGAAGTCAAGTGTTACAAACTGGCATCGGGTTTATTTAAAAAAAACGAAAAAAGGGTTATTTAATTAACCATTATCGATTTAATATAAAAACTGAGCCCGAAAAATACTTTTACTCGCTGCTTCTTCTGTTCAAACCATGGAGAGATTTGAGTGAACTCAAAGGTACATTCGAGACTTACACGGATGCCTTTAAGAATTCAGAGTCTGTTTTAACGAAGGCAATGAAATATCACGAAAGGCTCGAAGAAATACAGAAAGCTTTTGAGAACGTTGCTGAATTAATCGAGAAGCGCGAAAATGATCTGAAAACAGCAGACAGAGACAAATCCGATGACGATGAACTGGATTGTAATCCGATAGAAGCTGACGACGCGATGAAAGATCTGGAAGATTTTGGTAAGATTGACGACCCGATTGATTTATCGCAAATGATGTCGCAATTGAACAAAGACCAGAAAAGAGTCTTTGATGGAGTATGCCAAGTTTTACAAGATAAGAATCAGATTCTGCGACTGTACGTAAGTGGCGAGGGTGGTACAGGGAAAAGTTTTCTAATTGAAACGATTAAACATTGGATCAGAATAAATTTGGAAAAAACGACTGCCATATCTGCTCCCACGGGTATCGCAGCATTCAATATCGATGGCTTGACAATCCATAGAATGTTTCAACTACCGGTTAGTCATGAATCTACACCAAAATATACGCAATTGTCAGACATGGTCTTGAAAACTTTGAGAGACAAATTAAAGAATGTCGAATTATTTATAATCGAAGGAATTACATGTAACAATGCAATGATGGATTTAGGAACGACTGTATTCAGTGATGGTCAAGCCTATGTAGGTTTGTCACGAGTAAGTAAATTGGAAGGCCTACATTTGATAAATTTCAATCCAGCATCAGTTAAAGCAAACTCGAGAGCCATTGTAGAATATAATCGACTGAGATCTATATTCAAATCTGAACTGCCACAAATCAATCCGTCCGAGAAAAAGGTTGTGAAAATGTACGATCGTCGATGGGATATCCCTAATATCATTGATGATATGCAGAATTATGATTGTGAGGAACCAGAAAGTATAGTTACGTGGAAAATATATGGCCTTTGCAATAACGATGCTGTTTCGTGTTACGCTAATGTAATATTACAATGTGCGTTTCATTGCGTACGTATTAGGCAACAAATACTGAAAAATAAAGCATCGAATGCATTGATTGATGCTATCTGCGCGTATGGTGAACGTAAATATTGCAACATTCAAGCGGTTAGAAGATCTGTCGGAAAACGCTTCGAAGAACGAACACAACAAGATGTTTCGGAATTTTTTACGGCTCTAATGTCGACGTATTCCGACATCAATGATGTATTAAAACTCGAATTAAAGCACGTAACATGTTGCTCGAATGTCAAATGTAATTACAATGTAACTAAGCTGGAAAGCAGTAGTTTGTTAATATTACCTATACATTCGACATTAAAAAGGAAAAAAGGTGTCACTCTACAAAGTTTGATTAATGTAGAATTTTCTAAATGGGAAACGATAAACGGCAATTGTAACGAATGTAAGGGCACCGTGTTGAAAAAGAAAACCGTAATCGAATCAACTTTATCCGTCGTAGTAATACAGCTCAATTTATATACTTTTGTAAACGGTGCTTCTAAAAAAATTATCAACAATCGGATTACCGCCGTGCCGACGAGTAATATCACGATTAATAAAAAAAAGTACAAGCTAATAAGCGCTATATTTCACGAAGGTGAAGAAATGAATCGTGGTCACTACACGTGTATGTTGAGAGCTGACACAAAATCGGAATGGTATTACTCTAATGATATGGAAGTGTTCAAGAAAAAATGGCCCAAAGGAGCACAAGGGGCATACATATTGTTCTTAGAACAGATTAAATAATGGCGCTGTATAAAGGCTGCCGTAAACGCTACATTAAAACATCAACTGTTCTAGCGCTGTATAAAAGTTGCCGTAAGCGCCAAAATAAAATATCGGCTGCTCTGGCGCTTTATAAAAGCTGCTGTAAGCGCTGCATTAAAACGAGTGCAATAAGTTTCTAATTTGACCTAGGCTTCATGACATTTCAAAAAGTATCATCAAGAAAAAAATTATCAGACAGAAATATGTATGTCGTGTTAAAATCGGAGAGACGAAGAAAAATATATGGTTGCGTTCTCACGAGAATGGGCGATGGAGGGGCCCATTCTTTATTTTCAATATTCATACAAGAATATAAATTCATTCTGTTGCAATTGAAATAAATGTGCAATGTATCGTTAAAAGTTATTACAATTATACAAACATTTACATATATGATTAAATAAAATATATATGTATACTATAATATAATTATATATTTTATATATGTACATATATACCATATATTTCAATTATTTTGAACTGTATTGCATAAATTGTTACTTATACAAAGTTATGTGATAAGAATCGAAAATACATATATTTGTGATACTTGAATTACTAGAAAGCTGCTCTATATATCTGTACTTTAAAAAGTAAGTGATATCCTAAAAAAATCATAAAAATGAAAAGGTCAGGCCATGTTCAAAAGAAGGTACTCAAAAATTTAAACGATCTAATAATAAATTATCACGAAAAGTAACTGATATGTTATTCAAGGTGCCAGTTCAAAGTGAACATACGTAAAGTGTATATTATCTAAATTTAGTAATAATATATTACCATGAAAAGTAACTGTGATATTTTATTCAAGGTGCAAGTTCACATTGAATATACATACATATAAGTAAAACTGATTACAATTTGATTCTAGAAAATAAGTGCGATATGTTATTCTTAGTGCACAAAATATAATAGTCGTTTATAGAGATTTGATTTGAAATTCATACTAGCCCGTACAATGAAAAATAATTGCTCGTAATTCCAGAGTACCAATTTGTTAATGACTCAGAAAAATAACATGGCGGCCTGCTCTCAAAAAACTTTCGATGGGTAGAATAAATAATTGAAATAAGAGTTGTGAAAATTGTATAAATTAAAAACCTCCAATCTTTCTTTAGTAAAATTTCGAATTTTCGTATCAACTTCCGATTTGTGTTATACCGTATTTTCAGGGAGTAAGTTATTGATCAGAAAACTTTGCCTTGTTGCTCGAAACGGGTGTATATTAAGTAAAATTTATAAATGTACAGTTCTCAGGTCAACTACAATAAAGCTATACGCTTAAAAAGTTTACTGATTATTTGTCGTAATATACAATAAAAATTACATATTAATTATTCAAGATACAAGTGAGAAATAAATATCATTAAAATATACAAAAAAAATTTATCAATTTGACTCTGAAAAGTAAGTGACATGGTTCTCAAAGTGCAAGGTTTCATTTGACTTACAATTTTCTTCAGAAACACAGAAGAAAAAGGTATTTGTATATAGTTTTGTATATTCACTTCGTTGTGTGTAGAGCTTTTAAAAATACGTTGAATCCTTATTCTAATCTAATCTTCTTCTAATGTAATACTTTTCGTATTTCAAATGTTGTAGTAATTATTCTGTAAGAGCTTCGACATTATTTCTAAATGGACATCGAGAAACATCATAGTTTTTTGAGAGCAGGCCGCCATGTTATTTTTCTGAGTCATTAACAAATTGGTACTCTGGAATTACGAGCAATTATTTTTCATTGTACGGGCTAGTATGAATTTCAAATCAAATCTCTATAAACGACTATTATATTTTGTGCACTAAGAATAACATATCGCACTTATTTTCTAGAATCAAATTGTAATCAGTTTTACTTATATGTATGTATATTCAATGTGAACTTGCACCTTGAATAAAATATCACAGTTACTTTTCATGGTAATATATTATTACTAAATTTAGATAATATACACTTTACGTATGTTCACTTTGAACTGGCACCTTGAATAACATATCAGTTACTTTTCGTGATAATTTATTATTAGATCGTTTAAATTTTTGAGTACCTTCTTTTGAACATGGCCTGACCTTTTCATTTTTATGATTTTTTTAGGATACATATATCCTTAACATATATTCCTTAACATATATATATATATATATATATATATATATTGTTCATCCGCGACCACCCTTCGGGTTATCCACAGAAATGTCGCGCGCACTCAAACTCTCACACGCCGGAAATGAATACACTCGCGTAGCAAAGCAATGAACTTTAATATAACAAGCCAATATACCGTAGCGATACAATATAATATAACGTGCATTAATCCTAATATATGTCCGCCAAACAGCTGTCGGAAGATACGTCCTCACCGCACGACAGACAGTTCAGAACAACACGCAACGATTAACATAAACAACTTCTTAGCGACGATAGAAGATCCTGATAGAAGACTCTGATAGAAGATCCTGATAGAAGACTCTGATAGAAGATCCTGACGATCGTAAAATACAGGGACGTATCGTAAAACGGACGTAACACGGACATAACAATATATATATATATATATATATCTTTAACATATATTCCTTAATATATATAACAATATATATATATCCCAAGGATATATATATATACTAGGGCGGTCCGATAAGTACTTAGCCTACAAAAGAAAAACGAAAATTTTGGAAAAGTGGGGATTTATTTCTCAACATAGTCTCCTTTTAGCTCGATACCTTGACCCAGCAATGCTCCAACTTCTTTAACTCATCTAAAAAATACGTTTTCTCGAGGTCTGCAAAGTAGGCCTCCGTGGCGGCGATGACCTCCTCATTTGACTCAAATTTCTGCCCGGCGAGTGACTTTTTCAAGTTTGGAAACAAAAAAAGTCGCACGGGGCCAAATCTGGAGAATACGGTGGATGGGGCAGCAGTTTGTAGTGCAATTCGACCAATTTGGCCGTGGCGACGGCGGTTGCGCTTGTTGTCCGGAGTGAGCAAACGCGGCACCCATCGCGCCGACAGCTTTCTCATGCCCAAAATTTCATGCAGGATATGACCCACGCGGTCTTTTGAGATGCCTACTGTTTCAGCTATCTCGCGCACCTTTAATCGGCGGTCTGCCAATACGAGATCGTGGATTTTTGTCACGTTATCCTCCGTGGTAGCCATTTTCGGGGCACCTGGGCGTGGCTCATCAAAAACTGACGTGCGACCACGTTGAAACTCGTTAAACCAATTTTTGACGGTCGCCATCGAAGAAGAAGAGTCACCGTACACAGCATCCAAGTGCTTTTGATTTTACTGCGCGATTTCCCTTCCAAAACAAGAATTGAATCACCGACCAATATTGCTCTTTTTCCATTTTTCTAAAATCCGCGGACACGCCCGCTTTCACACACGGTCAAAACGAAACTACGAGTCCGATTCGGCTGAAATTTTGACAGTAGCCGTCTACGAGAATGTACTACACGATAGTAAATCTCTCTTGCGATATTGGCACCATCGGGCGATGAGGCTAAGTACTTATCGGACCACCCTCGTATATATATACAGGGTGATTCAAAACAACCGTTTGTCCTTAAAATGTCGTATTCCTGACTCAATTCTAAGACGATTTTTCCTTTGCCAAAATTTTATCCGAAGCTTAGTTTTTGAAATATAAAAAGAAATAGTTAGCGAATTACAGCACGAGTACGGGCGGTAATCAGGAGCGGGGCACCACATTATCCGACGCGGGCGATTACGTGGGCGCTCGAAGCGATCAGCTGTTTGTTACACGCGGCGTTGTGTGTGTGTGTGTGTGTGCGTGTGTGTGTACGCGTATACACACACACACACACACACACACACTCTCACTCTCTCTCTCTCTCTGTTTCTTCACTGATTCTTACCTTGTAGAGATGTTGATGTCCTTTGACGAATAATTGTTGCCTGACTGGATACAATCCGATATTGACACACTGTGACACACTGCATAATGAAATCATTTTTTTGTAATAAATTCTATTGACACTTGACTCACGCACTTGATTAAAAATTATTGTAATAAATAACTGATTACAAATTACAACACATAATCACAATCTGAGAGAATTTTCTCTTAGAATTTGCCCTGAAAATTGTGGTAATCGTAGGATAATATTGTATGGAAAAAATTTTATTAGAATTCCTCTAATTAATATTTATCACATTCAAAATAATAATATCTATCACAATAAAAATGAAAAATATGAACATGTTTTTTTAATTTTACTAAACCGTAAAGTAAAATTAATGAAATATATTTTATATTTTTTATTGTGATAAATATTATTATTTTGAATGTGATAATTATTAATCAGAGAAATTCTAATAAAATTCTTTCTACCATTTCTCTTACAATTACTATACCTTAGGGTAAATCTAAGAGAAAATTCTCTCAGTGTTTGATTAATTATAAAAATTACTTGTAAAACGCGCGGCGCGCACAGCACAGTTACTCGATGCGGACGGCAATAGTTTACACGGCAAGGACACGACAATCATAATCACAATCTAAGAGAGATTTTCTCTTAGAATTTACCTAGAAAATTATGGTAATCGTAGGACATTATGATGTGGAAAGAATTTTATTAGAATTCTCTACTATTTATCATATTAAAAATAATAATATGTATCACAAGAAAATATAAAATATGTTTGATTAATTTTACTATACAGTTTAGTAAAATTAATCACACATATTTCATATTTTATTGTGATAGATATTATTTTTAATGTGATAAATATTAATCAGAGAAATTTTAATAAAATCTTTCATACCGTATTGTCTCACAATTACCATAACTTTTAGGGTAAATTTTAAGAGAAAATTTCTCTCAGTGTACCGATAATTATTAAAAATTACTTGTAAAAAGGCACACGTTACTCGATGCGGACGACAATGTTTACACGGCAGGACACGACAACAGACTGCGGCGACGGACGACGCGACGCGTCGCGACGCTTCGCGAACGTCTAGACGATAACAATAAAAATATAACGTAAAAAATTATAATACGTTATAATATGCCTTTTTTAATAACATAATTATTATACGTTTTAATACATGTCTCGCGTCAATCACATGTTCGGCAACGCCGCGTGATTGTTATCGTCTAGACGTGTCGCGAAGCGTCGCGACGCGTCGCGTCGTCCGTCGCCGCAGTCTGTTGTCGTGTCCTTGCCGTGTAAACATTGTCGTCCGCATCGAGTAACGTGTGCCTTTTACAAGTAATTTTTAATAATAATCGGTACACTGAGAGAATTTTCTCTTAAAATTTACCCTAAAAGTTATGGTAATTGTGAGACAATACGGTATGAAAAGAATTTTATTAAAATTTCTCTGATTATATTTATCACATTAAAAATCATATCTATCATAATAAAATATGAAATATGTGTGATTAATTTTACTAAACTGTATAGTAAAATTAATCAAACAATTTTATATTTTCTTGTGATACATATTATTATTTTTAATATGATAAATAGTAGAGAAATTCTAATAAAATTCTTTCCACATCATAATGTTCTACGATACCATAATTTTCTAGGTAAATTCTAAGAGAAAATTCTCTTAGATTGTGATTATGATTGTCGTGTCCTTGCCGTGTAAACTATTGCCGTCCGCATCGAGTAACGTGTGCTGTGCGCGCCGCGCGTTTTTACAAGTAATTTTTAATAATTAATCAAAACACTGAGAGAATTTTCTCTTAGAATTTACCCTAAAAGTTATAGTAATTGTAAGAGAATATGGTATGGAAAGAATTTTATTAGAATTTCTCTGATTAATAATTATCACATTCAAAATAATAATATTATCACAATAAAATATAAAATATATTTCATTAATTTTACTTTACGGTTTAGTAAAATTAATAAAACATGTTTCATATTTTATTGTGATAGATATTATTATTTTGAATGTGATAAATATTAATTAGAGGAATTCTAATAAATTTTTTCCATACAATATTATCCTACGATTACCACAATTTTCAGGGCCAAATTCTAAGAGAAAATTCTCTCAGATTGTGATTATGTGTTGTAATTTGTAATCAATATTTATTACAATATTTTTAATCAAGTGCGTGAGTCAAAGTGTCAATAGAATTTATTACAAAAAAAATGATTTCATTATGCAGTGTGTCACAGTGTGTCAATATCGGATTGTATCCAGTCAGGCAACAATTATTCGTCAAAGGACATCAAACATCTCTACAAGGTAAGAATCAGTGAGAGAGAGAGAGAGAGAGAGAGTGTGTGTGTGTGTGTGTGTATACGCGTACACACCACGCACACACACACACACACACAAAACGCCGCGTTGTTGTAACAAACAGCTGATCGCTTCGAGCGCCCACGTAATCGCCCGCGTCGGATAATGTGGTGCGCCGCTCCTGATTACCGCCCGTACTCGTGCTGTAATTCGCTAACTATTTCTTTTTATATTTCAAAAACTAAGCTTCGGATAAAATTTTGGCAAAGGAAAAAATCGTCTTAGAATTGAGTCAGGAATACGACATTTTAAGGAAAACGGTTGTTTTGAATCACCCTGTATAGTGTTACGTCATCCGGACGTTCTCTCTCTCAAATCACTGCACACTCTCACACACGCGGAACACGCCCGAAAGGATTAAAGACTCTTAAGGTGGGTACTGAGTTTTAATATGAAATCCAGTACAAAAGAACGATGCAATACAATAAATAATATGTATTATACATGCTCATTGGCCTCGAAAGCGTCTGCTCGATCGAAGCATCGACCAAATGTGTCATGGAGCTTCAAAACAACCACAGGGCGGTTGTCAAATAAACAAACCCCCTTA